GCCCCACTGATCCCTTTTGGCAATTCAACTGGAGCTGCAGTTTCGGTCTGTGTGGAAACTGGAATCGGAAACGAGGGGATTGCGCTGGCCATAACGCAAATCCATCACTGGTAAAAGGAACACCGACCCAAAAGCTGAGTCATGACAAAGGACGAGGTTTAAAATACTTAAGCGAGAGTCGAGTTGCGTGTCTGTTCCTCCTTACCACTTTGTTCTCACTTCAGTGCTGTGCAACCATATCTATCTAGGTTCCATCTAGCTAGTGGAGAGTTGGAGGAGGTATCACGTGTTCATGTCATTGATATCTCCGTAGAGGTACGGCGGAGGGTTCCGTAACCAACTTTTCTAGATGGTTCACAGCTAGTGTTGCTGCAGTTGCTTATGGCTTTCTCACAGTCCACGGGTCCAGGGTAGTTGTCGAAAGTGGACGTCATTTTCGGCCCTTCTGATAGGGTTTGTCGCATATTCCCCTCTTCTGTTATGTTGAGTTTAATCATTCAGCAGTAGATTTCACGATAGTTGTCCTTTGCGATTGGATTCGCCTTCCGCTGCCACCGACGTAGTGACTCGAGACTCCCCTGAACACTAGCGAACACGTAATTCGAGGGTAGAATGCACATTGTCGACGTACAGAAGGTCTGCGGCCGGGGGGGGGGGGCGGGTGGAACTACTGCCATGGCTTAGAGGCCAGACTGCCTAGTGGAGTTGCGATTTCTGAAGCAACCAATCGGACTTTCACCAAAACCGAGCGTTAAATAAACAAATTGTAGGAGCAGATACGCTTTGCTACTTTCCCTCACTCATTTTATGCCAAAAGCCAGGCAGCCTGATTTTGTCATCCGATTTTTCAAATACCGCTGCCAAATTATTTTATATTATGGGTTTTGCGACTGCTCTGGTGTGTCACAAACCCTTCTGGTTCCCAAAAACTGTGTCTGAAGATCATCTATTCCTACTCAAAACTTTGTTAGACTGCGCAGAAGGCGCCCATACACAAAGCACAAAGGTGTCATTGTAGACACTTGGAAAATGTGCATGTTGCCTAATTTGCAAATGCGCATTTTCTTATGTTGGGAAATTAACATGCTTACATGCCTTTAGCCAAAAATGTATCAAAGTAACTACTCGACTTTGGCCTTTACAACATGAGATCTTAATCACATTGACGGTGCATCTCATGCTACAGCAAATAAGTTAATTTTGCCGTTCCCCTTTTCTACCCTCATGCCTCATTTCCATATTTTTCTCTTTTGTATTGTTTTGATCAGTCACAGCACTCCGATCAAAGGCTACACCCTCAAGGGGATCACACTCAGCGGTATTGAACGGAAGTCAGGTTGGGGGGAGGGGGCGCCCCGTACACAAGCCCGAGAGGCAATTCGCACGTGCCGCCCACGAGGCGTTTAGTCGAGCTCGGCAACCAATCGCATCGGAGTGTTTACTCTAGTGCATATAGAAATGTCAAAAATCGATACGTCTGGCCATTAGCAGCCTCAACTTCACACGCACGCGCATGCACGCACGCACGCCGCCTCACACAGTCGGGAGTTATCGATCGATTTGACGCGTCCCAGTTCAGGAGTGTGGGCTCAGTCGGCCATTTGCCCCGACTTTGATCAGTGTGACGTATCAGTGATCTCTCCTGACCTGCCATGGCAACTAAGGAGGACATCAAAACCGAGACTTTCTTTGTGGAGTCAATGAAGAGAGAGAGTGCAAGCACGTCATTTGTTGTTCTACCAAAACCTCCACGACGAGTTAGTTCGATTTGTATAAATAGAAAACCACTTTACAAGACCCAAAGCTAGTTCCTTGTCTCAGTAGAATTTTTTTTCCATTGTGGTAATTGTGTATTGGAGAACATATGGTGTTTCTAAAGCTATACTTTTAAAATTTTAGTCCGACAGAGAACGCTCCACATCGGCGCTTGATCTGAGTGTAAGCTAAAATCATCAGCTTTAAAACCTTATTACTCCTCAATCACAATTGTTGACTAAAGTGAGAGTATTTGTCTTACTCAACCATGGCGATAGCAGTTGGATAAAATTTTTCCTTGTGCAAGATCTTTCTTCTCTCATTTGGTTTATTTGCCTACACTTCTGTGCCCTACATATTTTGCTAGTATTTTGATATTACTGACAAAGTCAAGCTAAAAGGGTAATGTTTGAACTTTGTGCCCACTATCATGTATTTTTGGATTATCAAATTATCCAAAGACTTCAATGTCTAAAATTTTGTTTACTTTAGACTGGAACTGCAAGAAAACGGTCCTACCCTGGGGGTGAGGATGAAGCCAGCGGTGCCCCTCAGAAAAAGATTGCGAAACGTAAACCAACTGATCAGGAATTAGCACTTAATGCAAGTCAAAATGCTAGTCTGTTACAGATGATTAATTTGCTTTTAGCCTTATTTAGTTAAGGTTTTTGAAGAAAATCTGACTTAACTCAACTAAATCGCCTGCAAATCTAGTATTCGAAATCACAATTTTCAAATATGATGCTCATATTCTTTAACTTTATTTTTTAAACAAGAGAGTGTACCAGAACCGGCTTTCAATTACTTCTAGTTGTTGTTAACCAACTATGCATTTTTATTTGGTCAATTACAGTTTTTCATCAAGCAGTTGGCTCTTGAATTGTTGGATCGTCGGCTAACCATCGTTCAACAACCTCGACACCGACTAGCTCAATTAGAGGCTGCTTGTCGGCGTCAATTCCCCGCCTTCAACGAAAGACAGATTCGTCTCAAGATTCGAGGTCAACTGAAACTGTATAGGCGAAATCTGAAAAAAGCCGAGGAACGAAAACTAACTAAACCGAACGCACTTACTCAACCGTCCTCGGCATTTGAGTGTCTCCCACTGACCTCGGTTGATCAGAATCCTACCTACCTCGCCTGCAATCCCAATGCCGTTTGGATGGCTCGTCGAGCTTTGGCCAATGAACGCAAGCGAGGAAAGGCACTAATTACCCCGTCAGCAGACGTGCTGCCTCTAAAAGCTATCAATGATTGGCAGAACGTGAACACAATGGTGGGACCTATGGTGATTAACAGACCTCTTCCTGCCATTCGACCGGTAAATTCTATCTTCCCCATATTACATCAGATAGGCTAAAATTAGAGGCCCCATGCTCATCTACTCTATGATATTCATGTTTGCCAAAGCCATCGCCAGTCAAATGTGAAAACTGATTATAGCTTCACTGCGAATCGGTTTCATATTGCACCTAGAGTTCGTGTTTGGAGGGCGGAATGGGCACAACAGAAACCACTTATTCGAGCACTGCCTTATCTGTCCCTCCAAAGAGAGTCCACTCGAATCCTCCACTTAACAGCGTTGCCTCACCAACAAAACCCATTCAAATGAATAATTCTGCAGTAATGCCCACTCCACTGAAGTCCCTCCTTGAAGCCAATAAAAATATCGAACCCTCAGAACTCAATGTTAATCCCACGGATTCTTCAGTTGTGAGTTGTTTTTAGTTAGCTTTTTTTATTTTACAAAAATCCTTGAAAAATCTTAAGTTTGAAAGAGTATGTGATTATTTGATGGATGCATATCAGGTATCTATCAGTCAGATTCAGAAATGTGAGGTCTTTGGAGCAATATTAAGCGTGACTTTTGCTGAGTCTTTCCATAACACCAGACTAACTACAGAAGAAGTTTGGCGGTTTCGAAATGGACACGCAAAATGTTCCCAATTTCATTGTTTTTTTTGAAAGACATATAAATCAACTTTTATCATTTTTCTGAGTAGTGATGATATATTATCAGGATAATTAATCAACCGAAGAAATGGCGCCTTATTTAAGTATATTTGTCCCTTGAAGTTCAATTCAGTAGGTGCGGGCAATTCAACCAGTCAAACACCACAATCACACCAGATGAATCAGACTTGGCCACCTACAAGTTCCAATCCTCCGGCAGATGCATCTTCTTGCATAATTAGTAGTTGTCTTCGTTTGGCAGCGAACTTTCTTCTTCAAAGTGCCACGTTTTTTGAATCAAAAAATGCGTCGCTCCCCGACCTGAATTCGACTCTTCCACCAACATTATTTCAACCTCCCAACCTCTCACTGATCATGAACCCAGTGTTTGAGAGTAATCTACCTCCTATGCCACCTCTGGGTACAGCCAATACTCCCTTTTCCGATGTCGCCCTTGTTTGTTCCACACCCACCATTACTTCTTCCCATCCTCCTTCCTCAGTCACTCCCTCAGCGAGCCATCCAGCCACGACCAGTACCACCCAGCCGGCTCCCTCGTGATGTTGTTTTTATTAAATTCGTCTAATTCCTGTTTATATCTCGCTCATTTTTTTTAATCTTAAATGCTCACATTCAATAAAAAAGTAGTTTTAATTCGAGTTTGATGAATTAAATGTTTTATAATGGAGATGCGTTGGCTTCTACACTTCTCTTGAGTAACTAAGCAGTTACATTATTGTTTTTTTATTTATGCAACAGACAAATGGAACATATCTCTTTTGGTAATGAAAGTGGAGGCAAAAGCAGTGCCTTTAAATTCTTCCCGAATGGGTGCGTCTACGTTCTACTACTTTCAGGCACCCCTGAACACCGCATCAAATTTTAATGGAGCAGACTTACTTACTATTTCCATTATTCTATTAATGTGGCCTGTAGAATTGTTGAAGGTAGCTCGCGTATTGCGTGCATATTATTCTGCAAAGAGGTATTCCCTTCAATTAGTCAAGAGAGAATGGTTTGTGCAAGTTGATAAAATTGCCTAGACTGTCAATTAATTATTTTTTTCCTCCCCACTTGACAATAAAGTGTAGAAATTGAGCACCTGAAGCTATAGGAGCATTAGCACAAACGTTGGGATTAATTTGAGATGTGTGGGATGTTTCCATGTGCCATGGAGACCTTCATTCCTTTCACCTCTGGCATGCCTCCCCATGTGCATCAAACGGATGAAGAGAAACCGCACGCGATCATTGGCCAGCCCCAACACAACCAATTAGCCAATCAGATTCGCGGGACACGCCAAGACGCGTATGAAGATGGTTATTGTTTTACAGCAGAACATGACTTCCTTCCTTTCCATAGTGGTGATATAAACCTGGCGTTTCAGAAGGTTTGTGAGGCTTGTCGGCAAAATTTGAAGGATTTTGCAGAAAATGCAATCTCAACTTGGTTGGAGACGGCTATTCTACTGGGAAGTGGATGTGGGTGGGATTCATTCAGAAGAGGAAATGCACATTCCTTCCTTCTAGCTGAAACAATGCAAATAGGTCAGAAACTAAGGGTACTCCTCAAGCCGATTTCTCGGCGGCTTAGTTCCAGGCTTCAAAAGATCTTGACACCAATCAAAAGGGTTACTCCTAATGTCATAGAGAATGGCGACCACACAAATAAACGTAGACAAGGTAAATGGTAAATTTTATTGAAAGCTAGAGCTATTTCCCCGTGAGGAACTACCTTTACCATTGGTTGATTGATGTCAGGTTTAAGGTTCGTATTTATTTATTTATTTAACCAATAAAATAAAACAGCCGAGTAACTAGGCCAAACCGTTCACCTGCCCTAAGATTGTCCGAACTGCGTGAGAATGATTCAATTTTGTGTTTCTACTTTTTGATTGAGTCTGTTTAATTGCAGTTCAAGATGGTGAGGCGGTAGACCCACGGCTCTACCCTGAGCTGAAAAATCCAACCGTCATTGTTTATTGGAAATGATAAATAGGAAAACATTTTTTTCTACCAAAAACTTATTTTTCCTAGCATTCCAACTGCAAGACTTTTTGAATTCTATGGTGTAACAAGCATCTCTAAACTAAATTTTAGCAATTTATGCAAACTCACTTTAGCCATTTCCAAGATTACTGTTGGTACTGGCTATCAACATGAGGCCTCTGTAGATCCCGACGAAAAAGAGCCACTGTTATGGTTGTGGAATTCGAAATGGAGGATCGCAGAAAAAGTGCAGACGAACAGCTCCGCCAAACATCATAAAGATGACAATCGTCAATCTCAATTGTAGAGATTTACACCGCGACTCGGTTTCCGAATGAGGAATTTTGGAACTTCTTCTAAGGGGAGAATTTTAAAGAGTAAACTGACGCGAAAGCGAAGGATGGAGATTCCTTTACCATAGACGTCGGCGTCCCCCTCAAAACGACCTATTCGTAAGTTGGCATGATTACAAAACTACGGAGGAACTAGCATCAGTTCATTTCAGCCTTTTTTAAGTAAATGGTGCCACTTATTTGACTTAGGCAATTAAAGAGTAGTGTATCTTGAAGACGATGTGCCACAAACTAAAGGCGACCGTCAACCAGATTGGGCACGAATAAACGGAACTGTGGAATGCCTGTTTCTGCTTATCAAATGAATGTTGGGGGATGGAAAGGGGAAATCACTGGTGCTGTTTAGACGATCCCTAGTCCAGAACATAATGGAATGTAATAGAATCCAATGACTTATCACTTATCTGTCATTGCATGGGATTTCAGGGTGGATGCAAGTGCAGTGGGAATTTCATCATTTCGTCAACATGGAGATCTTGTATCAGGTACGATCCGTGGGAAACAGTTAAAAGGTACCGGAAGTGAATGAGTCGACCACCGAAACTAGTGATACTATTTAAAAGAGCAACTTCTTTGCTTTTTAGACTCAGTTGAGATGGCCACGTTGATGAGAATTGAACCTTAATTTCCAAACCGGAATCGAACTATCGCAAAAGCAACCAGTTTCCAACTCATCCATAATCACCAATGATGTTGATAAAAATGAATGCACGTTTTTTGATGGTAGCTATGTCCTACCCAAGCTAGTCGAATGAGAACGCCTTTTGCAACACCCGTGCCAGCATCAGCCTTTTTGTAATACAGGCTCTAACATTAAAAGCCGTTGAAATACTTTGATCCAGTTCCCTTTAGTTAAGATAGTAGGTAGACAATCGGCGCACGGAGGCTGGACCTCCTGTAATCCAGAAGCTTACCGATTGCAGGACATCTTTTAGCTCAGAGGAGGACTTATTATCAACCCAAATGAGACGAATCAACGGAATAAACTAACACAACGCAGCGTCACCCACATTTTTGCGTGCCTTCATGGCTCATAGTGGCAAAGGATGCTGTACAAAGTCAGGTGACTTTGATTACACTGCAAACAAAGGGAATTTGGTTGGTGTGACTGAGAATAAAAGTGGAAGGTAGTAGTTTAGGGGAACAGTAAGTCGGTTATGGCAATTAAAAAGGTCAACTCTATGGAAGGAACTGCCTACCTCGAAACTCTGCAGCCACACCATCAAAGTGGTGCCGAAGCCACAGGTAGAACTGGCATCATTTTTATCATCTACTTCTTTATAATGCCTGTATGAGGGCGCCGCCTGCATAAAAATGTGGCACATCACTTTCCAACCGTTAAAAACCAAAAACTGTTTTGCTTGTAGCTTCCTTGTTCGGAGTAGAAGCCCATAAGTAACGGCAGCAGGTGGTACTGCGACTACGCGTTGAGAGGATTTCTGCAAATTGTGTTGTAGGTGTGACGACCAATTACATTGTCTCAGGATGTTTGAAGACAGTTCCTCAAGAAAGCCTTTATTATCATAGGTTGACTAGGCCATGGACACACAAAAGTGAGCTTCATACCCTACTTATCAACAGAAATGGGCATTTGATCTATCATGAAATGGTGTGAAGTTGTGTAGTGCCCCGGCACTCCCCCGAAGACCAAAGAAGACATAATGCTGAGACAGCATAAGCATTGCCGACGTACAGAGGGGTTAGGAAGGCACGGACATTGTCAGGAGACCACTCCGCCCAAAAAAAGCACGAAGGTGAAGCCTTAAGTGTCCGTGAAACCAAAACGGGGAGTTGGACAAATAAGTGAAGTGATGCATAGCCACTCTCCCCTCCTGAGTGTGGTCGCCGGTACTCCCCTTGGTCGACCTCCAGCATCAGCCATCACAACGTAGGTGGTGCTGTAAGAAATCGCCCTCGAGGAAACCGCTCCAGTCCTCGAATTTGCATGCATCTGGGAAGATGACTGACCTCGTCGTCACTGATTATCTTGGCAATTCTACTACATCCAAAGCTTTAGCCTGTATGGACACTGCATTGGGTGAAGAAGGATCTTACGGACATCGCGCATGCCTGTAGTTAGTCGTAATAACTGGCCTAAAAGAGGAGCCATTGGATAAAAGTAGTTTTATGAGGATAATTGTACCCGTTCGTTCCTCCTTGCCACTTTTTTCACACTTCACTGATGCCCACTAAATCTGCTTGGATTCTATACACCTAGTAGGGAATGGGAGGAGGTATAGCCTGACCACCTCATCGACATCTCCAAACGGGTGCGGTTTATAGCCTTTCCGCAGAACATGAGACTAAGGTAGTTGGTGGAAGCTGTCACTTACTAACGGACAGGGTTATATCCAGCTCATGGGGAGGCCGAGGAGGTATCGCGAGTTCACACAATTGATATCTTTATATAGGCATGGTAGACAGCTGGGCAACGAACTTTTCCAGATGGCTCAAGGCCAGTGCCGCTGCAGTTGTTGGTAGCACTTTTGCAGACCACGAGATTGGGTTATAAACCGAAATTAAACGTTATTTTCGGCCCTCCTGTTGAGGAACGTCACAGATTTTTGCATCTGCAGCCTGTGCACTCCTTCCCTTACACTAAGGTTTACCACCCAGCAGTATAAATCAGAGTGGGTGTGCTTTAAGACTGAGTTTGCATTCCACCATCACCAATGTGGCCTCCCGAGACTTCCCTGAAGACCGTAGGTCATGCCCCTGGGTGGAAGTCTGCAAGTGGAGCCTTGAGTACCTGCAAAACCACAACGAGGAATTCAACAAACAAAGTCCCGTAGTTGTCCTGTAGAAACTTTGGAGATTTATGTAATCTGCATTGAAACATTTCCTTTTGAAGTAGCTAAATCCACTAGTTTGCGTTATTGCCACGCTGCGCTCTAAGCAACACGGAGCTATCTCAAATAAGAAGAGATGAAAGCCACTTGTATCCTGTATATAAATTGCGGAGGCCTCATCTCATTAGGCTCTCATTTTGCAGATGGATTAGACCAAAGTTGGTTTCTTTGGATGTCCACCGTTCAACTTCTTCTCACCACCACCGTTTTTCCACTAGAACACTTTTTAGCCAGCCTATTCATTCCACTACCTTAAGAACAGAAGTGATCACTTTTGAACAAGAAAGTGCTATTGAGTCAATCATGACAGCAGGTGGCAAAACTGACACTGAAGAGGCTTCTTACTGGCACAAGTGACGGTGCTCCATCAATTTTACATTTGTAAATCGTCTCACCGACTTTGTCGGGCCGTCTAGAGTAGCGGTAACTCAGTCCCTTTCATAACTTGTTGATAGGCAATTCCATCCATTCTGCTGGTTAAAAAGCACGAGACTAGAGCTCTGCCACGCATCCCACAGCTACTCCACATCTACGATCTTGTTTGTATCAAAACCCATCCTCGTTTTGACTTGTCTACGCATATTTCTACGTTGGCCTAACCATTGATACATCGTGTTCTGCAAGCGACGCTAAGCTGACGAGCGGGTGGTGGGATTCATGTCAATGCGATTGCTTGTGCATTAATGGGGATTCAAGCACTAGATCCCACCTAAATCCATACGGTGCCACCCGGTGTTGTACAAGGAGTTGTGTAGGAAGGAAGAGCTTGTTCCGCCACTCGAGCTTCTGGCCTCGTGCCTCCCCTTCTCCCTCTTTCCCACTGCCACCTTCTCCCAACCTACAGGTGGCAGTCAAAGGACGATCCTCATCACTGCCAGTCGACGAGGCTAGGAACTCACTTGAACCACTTGAAAGTCACTTTGTAATTTGAATAATTTCCCTGACCATCTGTTAAAGCGGCAGCCCCTCCATTGGTGGGGATTCTTTTAACTGGTCAAACTCGGAACATGAACAAGGTCTGAATCACCATTCCACCTCCATGTGGAGATGTAGTAGAAGAACTCATTCGCAAGGGTACAAATTCAAGTCGTACCGGAAAGCATTCCCGCACCTTTGACAAGATGTTTCGAATATTTGATAACTCTTAGAACTTTGTCTACACTTGCTTATTATAAAATACTCTCCTGAATAGTAAATTTACCAGATGTTTGTCTACCCCACGCCAAACAGCGATGACACGGAGCCACCTTCAATTTAATCAGTTGAAAATGCAGGCCATCAGGCCAGCTTCTAAGGTTTGCACTCCAAAGGTACTTTGATTCCCTCAAGATTTGAACCGGCGACACAAATGATGCCCATATTGCCAAAAATTGATGTGAGAAAATCCAAATAAAAGGGCTTTTTTCCCTTAGGTTGCTAGAGTGGACTATTTGTAATACCTTTTGTATTCAAAGTGTCCTGATCCAACAGTTGTCTAGACTAATGGGAGTTTGATCGAGACATTCTGGAAAACACGCCTAATGGATGTGATGTGTTTGGAGTTTATCACCATGGTCCGCCCCTTTCTAAGTTGGAAAGGCGAGCATTACTGGTGTACCGATTGGTTGTGCCATGATTTCCTCAAAAAACGGCAGACATTCGTATTCGCTTAAAAGTTGAATGAGACAATTTCTGCCCTCCCTTTGTGTTAGTCAACTCCAAACAGTGTGATTGCAGTGACAAGTGATGTCACCTGATTGTTAATTTTGATACAGACAACCTCAATTTCTATCTACAGACAAGTGCATACTTTTGAAGTCCACTATTAAAAATATGTTGTCAACAGTCTACGCACATACTGTCATTGTCCTTCCAAAAGGCTGAGCAATGGGCGAATATGATTCGTGAAGCCATCCAACAGTGCTGCAACGCAACGATGAACAGTTTCGCGTCATTTCACTTCACCTAAGCAGTCAGTGATCGTGCTCGCTGATCAGAATGCGGAACGCTGAACTGATCACTTTGATGTCACACTTGCGCCTACTTCAAGGCATGCTACCCTCCCACCCTGCATTCAACATGCGATGCAGGATCAAGTGGCAAATCTGGTGCATTTCATCCGAATTTACCTCAGAACCTTACTATCACTTATTTGCCTGTTTTAATACTCAAGTCCACAGAAACCTGATTCGCTGAGTTTCAGTATTTTGTCTCATCGTAGTGCGAGGGAAGCAGCACTGTGCAAAGGGTAGACCACACGTCCAGTTCATCTTTCTTCGTCGTCGGTAGAAAGGCCAGAGTGGAAGGATCATTCTGTTACTTTTCATCACATCGCTTTCTTACTTACGTGACCTCAGCTCCCTTCAGAGGCAAGGTTACGAGGAGGGCGTGTCTTAACTACTCTGCAGGCTTGCCAATTGTCCGTGTGACACGTTCGCCCATCGACGCAATTTCGGCAAATGCGTGTTCATGACAAAGCCCCTACAAACATTACAATGTTTTCAGCTGCATCACATGCAGACACTTTTTTGCACAAATTGCATTTGACACTTCAGTACGAAGCCTAAAGCATTACTGTTAAGGGAAGGAGAGTTGATGTCCAACTGTCGTACCGATGTACTCAGGTAACTTACAGTTTGGATAAACCACAGGACCTAAAACTATCCACTTGAGCTACGTTTGCCTGCTTCATGGAACTTGCAAAATTTCATAAATAGCAAAATCCAGATACT